CAGAGAAACACCAGGAGACCTTAAGTGCCTGCTTCCACAGAGCAGAGCGGGAGTCTGGCGTCCTGACCTGGGTCCCGCTCCGGCGGGCTCAGATCTGCAGCGAAGCCCACTGACTTCCTGAGCCCCTCCGGGGGGGTGAAACCAATTCCACATGGTCTCCGAGACCCTGGAAGCTGAAAAAGATTCTGGTTTTATCCGGCAAGAAGCAGACCGCAGCTGAGTTACAGAGTAGCTCTGACTATCCTTGTTTATCAAACTGGACACCAAAATCAAGTTCACTTCCATAACAGAAAGAAAATAAAAAAAAGGGGAAAAAAAAAAAGCGTGCTTTATCCTCCTGCCCCTCGCCCTCAAAATTGTTTCAGCTAATAATTTCCTCTGACTATCTATGGAAGAAAAGACGAAGAAGAAACTCTCTAACCCCTCTGCCTGGACAGAGACTCTCCGACACCTCGACCGCGCAGGTGCCGGCTGTCCTTTCAAGTGAAAACGGGAGCGGGGGGGGGAGAAAAACGGGGGGAGGTGAAGTCATCGGCTCACGTTATAAATGCAACTCATGTAAAACGAAGGCAGGATACTCACTATACCGTTTTATAAGCAGACCTGTGTTCTGCAACGCGATGCAGCGGTGGATTTCGCGGCGGGGCTTTCTGTGGGCTGGCAGGGGGCCAGGCCCCCCAGCGCAGCAGAAGCACCTGCAGTGGGTGGGACGGGCTGCTCCGGCGAATGGAAACCGCCACCCTCAGAGGTTTAAGCCAAGTGCTCCTATTTTTTCTATGAAACTTTTGAAGTCTGGGATTTGTGGTTAAATGGACAGCCAGAGGGGGGAAAAAGAAAAAGAAAAGAAAAGGTTATAAAAGCTCTGGATAAAACGTACAGTACAATACAGAAATGCTCAAAAGGTGAAAAACCATACAGTGAATAAACTGTAGATGCAACCTCAAGAGCTCAGTTGGATAACTTTGTGGCATTATATGCAAACTATCTCCATTAACTTGGGAATGTAATATGTTCAATGTTAAGGCTGTAGTTGATGTGGTGTCTTCAAAGCTGCTTTTTTGTTTGTTTGTTTGTTTTAAAGAGTTGTACATCTCAGCATTTTTACTGCTATTCAGTTGTGGCACCTACACTTTGAATGAGCAAAGATGGAGCGAGCTTTACATTTCAAATTTGAAATTATTTTAAATTTTATAGAAACATGTAAGGGAAATGATTCGAAGAACACAAAAACGTGATCTAAACTTTGCTTGCTTAAAAAAAAAAAAGAAAGAAAGAAAGAAAGAAAGAAAGAAAGAAAGAAAAAGAAAGAAAAACCACCATGAAACAAAAAGCACCTACAACATTTTTAGAGAGCTTTGGTCAAAAGTGGACACACTCATGCAGGCTACGAATAAAAAATATTTGAAATGGGAGGAACTGAATACTGTGGTTTGAGTGTGGGCTTTATTTTTTCAGCTACGAAGCTGAATTTGTCTGAAGCCAGTTTCAAAACTGGAATTGGCTGGTATCGAGCTAGCATTTCATTTCACAATCTAGTCTTTGTTTCTATTTGTGCCCGTATGCCCGTTAAAGTTCATGAAGTATTAGACCTCAAATTGTTTCAATATTGTTTATTTTATTAAAGGTTTACGTTGTCAAAAAGAGTAAAAGAGTAACTATTGATTCCTGTGCTGCTATACTACCAGGATAATTTGAATGAGGTTTATTTTTAATACCTTCCAATGGCAAAAGATTTTTAAGGCTGCTTTAGAAATAATATGAAGACGACACATGATACACATTTAAATATTGACGATTTTGTGTTCTGTTGTGTCTACTCACTGGACTTCCCAGTGTATTAGTTAATACGAGGCAAAAAGAAGAGTCATGATGACTGTTGCTGATTTTATTTTATTAAAGAGCTAACAGACTTTTCCCATCCTGACTGCAGAATAGTTACAGTATTGTGGCTGCATTAGCTATAATGATAGTTGATAATACATTTATTAAGAAACATACTAGAAACATTGAATGTATATATACAAGCTTGAACTTCTTTAATAAAATCCTCTCCTTTCACTCCTTCATTTCTTTTGCAATAATTCCCGTCTCTCCTATTCCTCATTACACTTTCACGTGGAATTTTTTCCACAAAATGCCTTACAGACTTTCATGCTCTTAAGACTACGCTTCAGCGAAAGTCCGTTCTCTGTCACTACCTGTACGCACATAACTGACCACGCACAGCGTATCAAAGCTGTAAAAGCCAAAACTAACATGACACTCTTCTGAAGCTCCTTAAGCGTGCAAGATCAGGGGACAACAAAGGAGGAGGTCAAGACGTGGAGGGAAACAAGGAGATCGTGGAAATATCTCCCGCATGAAAGGTGACCGATACAGGGGGTTTGTTCATCTCTCATCCTTTCCCCAGGAAAAGGATGATATGAGGACAGAGTAAGAGATAAAAGAGATCCCCCCACCATGATTCTTCACTATAAAGCTTTGTTAATTTTAAAACTAGTCATGTGCAAAACGGAAAATCCTTAGGAATTCAAGAAAAATACTTGATTGTGCTGTATTCAACGTATTTGTAATTAATTCTTTTTCACTTCATTTATTAAGAAAACAACAAAGGAAGATATTCTGCTTCTGAAAGAAAAACCTGTAAGATCACCTCAGATTCGTTATAAAGAACAGCTTAAAGGTAAATGGAAAAACAAAAAAAAAGTTGTTCAAGTTAAGTATTCTGCAATCAGAGCTGACACAGAGGATATTTCTTAACTGAACAGGCATTGGATCCAACAGTGGAGCTGGATCCAATGGAGCCCCAATGGGGCTGTCGAGGTAACAGAGAATATACAGATAAAGCAGGGGCTGGAAGATGTGGAGAATGACACTGGTATGTAAGAAAATCTCAAGTTTCATATGAGGCAGGTCTGAAAACAACTTTTAACTATTACCATATAAAAATTTGTGCTTTACTACATGACTCCAGATATTAAAAAATTGCCATTATAAATCTTTTTTAAAAAGATATTATAAAAGTATCCAATCAGTATAAAAAGTTCATTGGCTTCCTGTTGTGATTTGGGATTTCATAGCCTCGTTAGAGTTGCACTAATAAAGAACAATTAAGAAAAAAACCCGTGTCTTTGAACACAGATGAGCAAAGGAAAGCTTGGGGTAATACCGTTCAGAGAATACGGACCCAGTATGCCCAATCCTTGCATGCACACATTCTCCCCAGCTGACTCAGTGGGAGTCAGGTATGTGTAAGGACTGCATGCTTTGGCCCTGAAGCATGGCACTGTGCTTAGTTGTGCATCTGCACTCAGTTTCACCATCTTAAAAATCCTATTGATTAAAAATATAGTGAAGTAGCATGCTTAAAGCCTGTCTTTTTTCTTTTTCTCTCTCTCTCTCTCTCTGTCTTTAAGCTAGCAAAATGTTTCATTTGTATTACAAGCTAATGGCTCAGTACTATATGAAAAATTAAGTATCTTTTGGTTTATGAGCATAAAAATTCCTTCTCGTTGCAAAAACCCAGATTTCTCACTTCTATCTCTTTCAAACAAGGCTAAATAAAAGGAAGCTAAAAGAGACAAATTAATCAGCGTTTGTTTTAAAACACACTCCTATACTAAGAGTTAATGCAGCTTCATTCCACAACGAAATCCTTTTCACTAGTTTATACAGCATTAAGATTTCCACACAAAAACTATATATTTTTATAATTTAAATAGCACATTTTTTTCTTTTTCTTCTGAATATTTGAATTTTAATTATCACCAGCATAAATGTACATAAGCAGATAGCATTTATCCAGTACCTTTGGATGATGTATGTATGGTAATGTAGTTTGTCAGTTTATCATCATTTAATATGATTATGTTGTTCTTTGTCTTTAAAATGTTATAAGAACATGCTGCCATTAAACCTTCCATGTCTGTCTAGTTAATATTGTGAAGAAATAATAAAGCACACTGTGAGTTACTTGTTTTGCATTTGAATTGCTTAGGATTCCTTGATAAAAATCTACGCAAGCATCTATGAGTGCCATCCTATAAACAAAATGTAATCGTTCACAGAATCACACAGAACAGTTGAGGTTGGAAGGGACCTCTGGAGATCATCTAGTCCAACCTCCCTGCTCAAGCAGGGTCCTCTAGAGCATATTGCCCAGGATCACATCCAGACGGGTTTTGAATATCTCCAGTGAAGGAGACTCCACTACCTCTCTGGGCAACCTGCTCCAACCTGTTCCTTCCTGATCGTTCTGTTAACACCTTGTGCTCTGTATTAACATCTTCAAGCTACAGTGACTCTGTAGAAGTACTGCAGACCCATGTGATTTTTTTCTCTGAATCCAAAATATATTATGTTTGTAAAGCCACAGACCGTAGAACCATGGCAATACAACTGAGTCTGAGATTTCCTAAAAAAGAGCCTTTAAGGTTTATGCAACGGAAACATATAAAATTTAAAATGTACAGCTTTTTAAGCTGTGATATTTTTCAAGCTAGTATCAAAATTTTTAAAAGATGTGATATATGTCATAAGATAGTAGGTGGAGACTTGCACTCATACCAGGTTGCTGTTAAACCAAAGGGGCTCTGTGCAGGAATGTAATTAAAACATTCACCTTCGAGGGCCTAGCCTTTACCAGCTAGTCTCCACAGGCTACCCATAAAGTCAGTGGAGAGGTAGGTCTCTGAGGGGGCGAGAGTAAGAGTAGCTAAAGCTGGTTCTTGGTCCGTCTGAACCACCAAGACAGAAGTTGGAAGATTTTTAGAGCGGCATCTTTGCTTTGACAGCTAGGAGACTGGTTAAAATCAGGTGCTTAGTGCAACTACCCCTCCCAGCCCCCTGCCACACTTGCTACAACATTCAGGGCTGTATGTGTGCAAGCCAGCACCTCAAGTGAGATTACTGAAAGAGCATGGTTTAGTCTCAGCTTCTCTTTTGTGATA